TCACTCCTGACGAGATGATGCTTATGCGCGCTATCTATGCCAGTACAAATACTGATATCATACTGTCCCCGTTAGGTATATTCCAACAAGGCAATTAATGTGCAAAAATTAATATGTCATCTCATCCATAGATGGCAACACAACATGTTATTTTATAAGTGCTTTTTACACAATTATTTATTAAATAAATACTAACTGGTTTACCATTGAAATCATTTTGACAATAATTAATTTTCTTACCATGGAATCCATAATTTTTTGTAGTGATTATTAATGTCTTAACCAGAGGAGTGAATCTGTTTTAAATTTTATACATGTCCTTACTTAAAGAGGATCTAAGTACCAACATCTTTTTGCCAAATGCACATGATCAAATAAAAAATACGATTGTTTAACCTAATTTTATTAAATTAACGAGACTTTTTACATTAAGATTAAGCTTTGGTCACACAGGATTTAGACACTAATTTTTTTTTGTAAAATGTGGAAAAAGTATAAATTTGTATAAACATCGGTAAGATGTAATTAGTTGACAAAATATGTATCTTTTTACGCTGTAGAAGGATGCATTTTAATGTGATTTTTTTAACAATTATGTAATATTTTAAACATTTCATCTAATAAGCAGATATCACCTAAGAAAATGTAATAACCCGCTAGTAATCTATGGCCTCTGTCTCTTGTATCGGCGGAGTGTTCTCTTGGTTCTGTACTTGTTTGTGTTTATGTTTCATTCTCAATTTAAACATCTTGCATTCGTCCGCGCATTTTGTCGTTATAATACTCCTGAAAAGGGGAAAAATAAAAATATTATTTCACTTAAAAATATCTACACTAAAATAATCAATTACGCAATTCAAAATTGACGAAATATTTTTATAATTGCAAATTGGCATTACGGTTACATCTTATTTTGTTTATGGTGATTTGCGTTTCAGCATAACATACAGACTGCATTATCTATGGTTTAATCTAAGAAAAACATCATGATTAAAAAAAAAACTATAGTGTCATACCAATCCTTTAAAAATATGAGAAAGTGACCAACCTTACTAAGTTTTCCTTGACCCTAAACCTGGACGTAATTTCCATAATAACATCCGATACTATTTTAGGATCGAGGCACATTTTTGCCGGTTTGTTTTGGAAAGCGGGCGATCTTTTTCCAGTTAGTGAATGCGTGGCTAGAATCCTAGAGGAATAAAAGTAATTTAAAAAAGTGTACAAAAGAGAAATTTTTACTGCACAAAAATATGAAAATCAATAGATTTTTGTTGTTTCGGAATTATAAAATTTAATTACCAACCTTCGCGGAAACGTCGCAAGTAGTAGAGTTCGAGTTGCTATCGTGTAAGACTTCCAATTGACTTTCTTATATTTATCTTTATGTATTAAAGTTTTGCCACTACCTATAGGCATCTGTAATTGAAAAGCAAAATTTATTGTACACAAATTTAAATGAACATACAACACAAAATATTTTTACAATAAATGTTTAATAAAAATATATTAGCAAAAACAAACAATTTTGCGAGATGCAACAAAGTTTTCGTTCGAAAATAGTAGTTACCCACATCAGATACTAAGCATTATACTTGGAAATTCTTAAATTGAACGAATCAAAAAAAATGGACGTTATTAAGATTAATTCTGTTATATTTACCCATTCTTCCTCAGTTATATTGTCTGTGGTATTGTTCCGAACATCAGCTCTGGCGTACTTATTGCTGATAAGAACATTGTCATCAGAACGATTGGATTCTGCACTCTGACTTCTGTCACTTTCTTCACCATCCGATATATCCATTGTCTCGTTATTTACCACTGATGTGTTCTTATTCGTACCATTAATATCCATTGTGACAAAACCAGCTTGACTTTTAAGATCTTTTATCATTTGAAATAGTTGTCTGAAACCGTGTTTTATTTCTAAAATGTCCTTTACATTATTGTGGCCATTTTTGATTGAGTCATTAGGTGGTGTGTTTTTTCTTGTTGAATCTGGTAATGATTTATTAACGATTTCCCTTTTGTTGGCGGAGTCAACATATCTACAATGTTTCTTTTTGTCTACAATATTTGTTTGCCGCGGTTGTAAAACATTTGGTATGATTGCATTAGGTCTGTGCAGTGGTATTGGCCCTTTTTTGTTTGCTCTTTTATTGCTGTATTGTTTCGTCGCGTTAAGTGTCTTGTTCTTTTTGTTTTCTGGCTGTGAATTTAAAGAAAAATTAACGGTTATAGGAGCATAAAAGAGAAGATTAATTACATTCTTTATTATTTTTTTTTTTAAAAGGCCAGCTTGTCGGATAATTAACACATTTTAGTCTAAGATTGAACTGTTTGTCTCTAGGGTCATATACACTGATCTTTAATCCGATCCAAACAAATAATTTGTGTTTGAGTATTTATTGATATTGAATTTATGCGGCGTTATATTCCTCTAATAAGATATTAACGCATAAACTTGGTGTTCTTATGGTTGTTGTACTTTTCAATAACCTAACGGTAATTGTGTGGCATTGTTCAAAGAACCCAATTACCTGCGGGTTATACCTGCCTTCCTTCAACGAGTTGAAAGTAATAAAATTAGTTTCTAGTTTCCGTAAATCTTAACATTTCTTAGAATACGAGGTACCTCTATTCATTATTTATAAAAATTACACACTAGTTACGAAAAAATTGACCATAAACTAAGAATTGAAACAAATTGTGATATAACATACAAAAAATTGAATTCGATTTCCATCAAGTATCGAATATCGTAAATAAAGTTATTGTTTTTTTTTTTTAATTATTATTTAGCACTATTGTTGCTATGACATCGACCGCATTGTATTGTAAACTTCAATGGGCAATGAACTGAAATGGGTAGCAAATAAATGTCCTCCGCTGTACCTCAGAGTCTTCAGATGAAATTTCATCGCTTGGTTCCCAGGATGAGGCACTAGACGAGAAGTCCATGACCTCCTGTTGACCGCTCGGTCCACCTTCTTCGATTTTTTGATCTACTATTTTGTCAGTTCCTGGACCATTTCTTCCATCTAAAACATCGATTAGAGAAGGTAAAGCCCGCGAAATGCAATGGTAAGATATGTGCAAAAATTATGATTATTACTCTACTCATTATATTATACACATAAATCTCGTTTACTAGCTTTCGCCCGCGACTCCGCCTGCGTGGAATTAAAATGATAAATAGTAAGTAGCCTAGCCTATGTGTTCTTGCAGACTATGTTCTACATCTGGCCAAATTTCATCGAGTATGATCAGCAGGTTAGACTATAAACTCTAAAAAACATCCATACATTCATTTAAACTTTCACATTTATAATATTAGTAAGATTATGGCTTGACAAATATTGAGAAGTTGTAAAAAATATTTAACCGTTAGGTCGTGGTAAGGAAGCGCGCGAAGGGGAATACGAGCCGATTGACATTATTATAAAGGCACTGCACGGTGTCGAAACGATTCGACGGATGGCAGGCTTAATAAAAATGTAACTGACGAAGAAGTAAGTAAATAAATAAATTTTATTTTTAAAATATTCATGCTTCTTCGTATAAAATCTACTTAGGGTAACGGCGAAAATAGGGAATATTACTTTTTAAAAAAGTACATACTAATGCAAAATTGATGAATTAGTAATAAAAAGAAGTAGCTAATACAGTAGCACTAAAATAAACTCACTAGATATGTGTTTCCGTTTCCTCACTGCATTCATAACATCTTCCGGCATCCCGATCTTGGATACTTGATGTTCCACTTTCACCATAGACCTTGAGTTTACAACACGACCGCTGCTCCATTCCTCAAAGAGCCACTTCTCTATTTTACCTTTCGAGTTCATATCTAATAGATCATGTCGCACGGACTAGTTCCGAATGAATGAGTCCCTTCCTAAAGTGCATTACATCGGTCCCAGGTAAAAGTTTCATTACGCACCCTTACTGCGTTATTATTGCATCCCCCGCCCCGCCTTTGTCGGAACAATAAGTTTCGCCAACGGCCCGACCTATAACAAAAACTTTGTTTTTTGCAAGCCATTTCTAAGTATGTTTCTATGCGAAGATTTATTTTATTCCCTCCACGAAGCTTCTTTGTCAATAGGCACATGTAAGTTACTGTAAAACAAATAAACTGATCTATTTTTTCTGACTATAGAAACACAAGTTAGTTTTCGATATTGGGATCGTAGTGATTGTTTTAATTATTCAGTACATTTTAAGTTTGGAACAAAACAGAATTCATTTTTAATTGCTACTGATTGCGGTTGTATGTAAACAAAAGTACAACATTCGGGAAAGTATTCAAAACGAATTACAACCACATCTGACGAAAAGAGAGGTCTAAGAGTTTAGGTCTAGAATTACCTGATTATCAAACAAGATCTTGAAGTTATCTCGATTTAATTTTAGTAGAACACTGCTACCTACTTACGTTAACTCTACTCCTTAGGTTACGAGAGGATTGCTATGAACTTATGACTACCCTCAAATAATAAAGGAGGTCATGTTATAAAAAATAGGTTGATAACACCACATTAAAAAGTTTTATTTTGGCTTCATGACTTTAAGAAAATTGTAAATAACATTGCTGACTTGAAAGGATTTTTTATTTACATCGGTGGTGCAGAACATAAAAAAACATTTGCTATTTCATGTTAGGAGTTTTATATGCTGTGTAATTTTTGGTCTGTCATCATAATGTGTTTGACATTGACAAATTAACAATTGACATCCATATCGGCTTTGATTGTTTTTATTTAAGGTTATTTTAAATTACATTTTAATAAATAAATCTAGATCTAGTTATAGAAATATATCTGCTCAATTATACAATTGCATAATAAGTTTAATTCAGTATGAACATGGATGCAGCAGTTTTGAAAAGAAAAAAAACTACAATCAGTAAGGGAACAATAAAAAAAACTATAAAAAATGTTGTTTGTCGACCTGATGCTGTATTTTGGTAAGCTAAACACTTCAATCAGCAATATTGCGTTTCACGCTTGTTAAATCTCTTTTTGTAATATTAGGTTATGTTTATTATTCCAAACTTGTGTAATTTTAGGCCATCAATAACAGAAAGTGAAGAAAAAGAATTGGAAACTATTTTAGATAACTATAAAGTGGCTATTCCGGACTTTAAAAAGCCACATTGGAAAGATATAAAATGTTTACCTAAATCTGAAAGACCTAAACAACCTCCTATCAAGTAAGTTACTTAAATTAAAGAGATTCCTTTAGTCATTAGCTCTACTTCTGCTAAAATATGAGATCTGGATTTCAGTGCTAAACTTACAAATCAAGTACAGACATTTTTATAATTTGGAATTCAAAATTATTTTTTTATGGAACAATTTTATCTATAAAAGGCAAAATTTTATTTACAGGCGGGTCGAAGGGCTTGTTTTCGGCCTATCTGAATGTAGAAACTTAGTAGACAATCAACAATTAGCTGCTTTAATTATAGAAAATGAAGTAACACCCAGAGTTATAGTACACCCACTACTTGAAGCATGCAATAAAAGTTCAGTCCCTGCGGTTTGTTTAACTGGACTGAAGAAAATTAGCTCTAGTAACTTTGGGATAGCAACAAGCTGTTTAGGAATCAAGCTAAATCTTTTAAAAAATCTATCAAATAGGATTACAGAAATATCAAAGAAACATAAACCCCAAGATACAAAGGAAAATTCTGTTATAAATGTTTGTAGTATAGAAAAAGATAAGCAAGATATTAACATGAAGGATAGCATAGAAAATATTGAAACAGTTTCACTATATCCTTATTTATATAGAACTGATAAGAAAAGAGTATTTATTCCAGAAAATGCTGAAAAGGTAGAGACAAGCAGAGACTTTATCGGTCAAAACTTTGTTGCATTTTCTTCCAATAAAGTAAAAAAAGAAAAATCATATAAGAAAATGATTGTAAAAAGAATATCTAACAATCCAAACAGAGCAAAGGTAAAATAACCAATTACATTGTATATTAAAATAAAAGTCATATTGCAAATAAAATGATTTATTTCATAATAAAGTAAATTTTATAATGTAATGTCAAAAAAGACATAATAAAACATTCCTTCAAGGAATTCACTTATTCTACTCAAAAATTGTTACAGGATTTCTATAATAATATATTTAGAATTCCTATTACATTTTCAGAGTACATAATTAAAATTTCATCAAAAATCATTACAACTTATAAGATGAAAAAGTCAAATATTAAGTGACTTCCAAAACATGTAGCTTACAAAAAGAAATAAACAATTATAAAGTTGATTGCTTAATTAATTAATATATCTTTTTAAGTTTGTGTTAGAAGTACATTGTAAGCTACACATTACCTGATACATAACAATACAACCTTTAACAATGGGTTATGAAAACTACATACAAAATCATACATTCACACATCTTTGTATGTGTACAAAAGTATTTTGTCAACAGAAATTTCTACTCTACAGTTTTGATTATTGATGAAATTTTACACTTAAATTATACTAAAACACATCACTCCATAAATTGAAACAACATGTCGCAGTGGAGAAAGCAGGTAGATAAATTTATCTTACATTTTCATTCGATGCATTGCATTTAAAGTTTATTTAAGTTCAATTTTATATAAATCAAACAACAGATAATGTTCACAGAATATATCTACATTAACTACAGTTCTCATTAAATGTCTGGTCTTATACTAATGTGTAGTATAGACCAAAAGATTTATTTGGCCAGTGGCCGGAAGTTAAATTGATTTATGATCACTAGCGCCATCTATCTGTCAATAAATAATTGACAAAGATTCTTAGATAGAAAATGACATAATACGGCAAATGACCATGACACTGAAATGAAAAGGGTAGTGCTAGTGCACTATTTTTTTTTTAATTTAACTTACGCTCACTTTGCCCGATAACTTTTTGGTCTATATTACCAAATCATACTCTAGATTGTCACTGTCATAAATAGTATAAAAATATAATTTATCATTCTCTATGAAAAAAGAGGAAATATATTTTACAGGTATTTTGGCAGTAAAAATCTAGTTATGTATTTACTGTTAATAAACTATTTATTTTAAAACAATTTAGTACATAGTACCAATAATAACATCAAGATATCTAACATAATTACACATATTTAACATGTGCATATAAAAATGTATTTTTTTAATTGAATTACAAAATTATATAACTGTTAATTATTCTTAAAATTAAAGGGATAATTTGGATCCATTATATTATTGTTATTTGTGATAACAATTATTCATAATTATATGTGCACCAAACAACACATAGTATAAATGTATATTGCATATAAAGTTTGTTGAATGGAATATAAAAGTTGAATTTTTCTGTAATGTCATTATAATTTGTACAAACTTAAAAACTAAACTTACTTACAACATTATTAAATAACACATACACTTCGCGGAAGTGTATGATAAAACAAAAACTCCGAATGTACACAGTAATAAGACTTGTCAATGCTAGCAACATACTAAGGCTGTGTAATGATATATTACAATGATTTCTTTTCAGTGGTTTTAAAATTTATATCCAGTGAAATTCCAGAAGTTTCTAATCAAGTTTTATGAAGAATGTTTTGCAAGCGGGATGTGCTACCGATACAGTGAACATATGATCTCCATTTCAATACGAAACGGAGGATAATTCGAGCAACGATATAGGCAGCTAATGATATGAGAGGCGCTGCAGCGGCGCCTCGCTCGGACAGTACCGGTCCAGGATGATCGCGCACATCTTCTGTGCGTCCGTCTCCTCGGGGTATGTGGCCATCGCCTCTGCGACGTGCGCTTCGGGGAAGATGCCCGCCAGGTGGAAGTGCATGCGGCGGC